CTGAACTGTTAAACAAAAACAAATGTGTTCCAAGTACTGGTAAAGATTCTAAGTGGTAGTTTTTTGTGTGTTTTGTGGTTTTGTTTGTTTGTTTTTTAATGTGTACTAACCCTCTCCCATTTACAGTAGCATAGTGCTTCAGTTTTACGTAATTTTCTTTTTTGGGTAAAAATCTCAGTGCTAATGTTTGTGTTGATGAGCCTAGTTGGTTCAAGAAAGCTTAGAAGAAGTACAAAGACAATACTGAGTGTAGCAATAGTATACTGAATTGTATGCATAAAGATAAAAATATAAAATTTAGAAGAATTCCTAATGAATGCATTCACCAATTTCTTCATCAAGGAGGAACTTGTTCTCTGAACAGACTACTCCATAAATTCTTCACTCCATAGTTCAGAAAGGTAGAATAAGAAACATCTAATCCAAGTTAGAGATAGAACATGAGATAAGACAGAGTGCTCATATGGAATGACAAATACAATATCTTTGTGTGTGATCTGATTAAAAAATAAACAAAAAATTGATTTGTAAAGCTGCTGAAACTTTTGTTCCTTCTGGCTTTGCAAGAAAATGTATCTTTTAGCTTCAAGTTAATGTGTCCCTTTTCATAATTGCTGCTGATATACATCTGCAATTATATACATATTTAGAGCCCAGTAAAATTACACTATTCAAAAAGAAGCAATTAACAAGTTTTTCTATATGTTAACCCAGAGGGAACAGTGGTCTCACTTGAACAAAGCAACCCTCCCTGAATGCAGGTCCAGGGCCCTGAGGATATTTAGAGGCTTGACTTGCTGCTTTGAACGGTAAAAAGATGTTTAAGAACACTTTCAGTTTTGGTTGTTGTTGCTTTGGTAAAGATCAAAAATATTTCAATATCATTTCATTTGTCAGACAGATGACTATCCCTGTTATGTTCTTCATTTCCATGTAAGTATATAATGACAATAAAAAGCTTTATTTGCCACTAGTGCAAAAGCTCCCAGAATAATCTTCTTCATGCAACTATACACAGGTACATAGTGTTTTGTTCAACTACAGACTTAAGAGTATAGTGAAATAAAACAAGTTACATTTAGTATTCATACCTAGAGGAATCCAATCTGCTGTTTAGGTATCCTAGGAAAAAGTCTACACTTACTATACAATGTAAATAAGAAAAAATCAGTTGCTATTGTTATGTGATATTCAGTTCTTTGGATACAATACAGGATTTATTTATAACAGCAACATTATTATTCTCAATATAATAGTAATATGCTATTCAGATTATACTAAAAAAAATTGAGAAAACAACTTTAATATCTGTTACAATGCCTAACTGGTTCTAGAGAGCAGCAGTGTCAACATTCAATTACAACTGTGACCTTTGGATTTTTAATTGTGATTGGTACATGGCAAATCCTACACATATCCAAAATCTCCAGCCATACTTCTTCATGGAAAATAGATTTCTCCTTACAGGATTGGATTCCACTGAGCACTACTTGGATTTGCCAATATTCACAAGTCAGATTATGATTCACTCTAAGTTCTACCAAAGTGAATGTGCAAAATGCAGAATATAGCCCAAAAGATAGTGCTCTTACATAGGCTCGTGCCATATCTCCATCTGTGGTTATACAGTCACTGCTGAAGATACCAGTTGGCTGAATGGCCATAAATTAATGGTTTTACACAAGCATATACACATTGCCTATTAAAGTAAAAAAATCCCAGCCACATATAATATTTAAGAATATCCCCAGTAAAAATCACACTACAAAAAAGAAACAAACCAACAGCCACCTGCCCTCCTGCTATGGAATTTCTGGAAACATCTAGAACATATCAGAGTAAATTGGCATAACTGAATAGTTGCCTTAAGGTGATTTGCCTTGAAATAGAAAGTACAATTTAAAAATCATAAATATTAAACTTTCATTCATACTCTTATGAATTATAAGAGCTAATGTATCTTCATGGAGGACTCGGGGATGCATCAGCTATGATAATCCTTTCACTGCCATACCGGTGACTTGGCATAACAATGATCAGAACCTCTTAAGTGGAACCTCCAAGATCTTTAAAAGAAGCAATTACTGCTCTGTCCATTCTTAGAAGCCAAGAATGTATCTTTTGAAAAAAATACATTTTCCAAAAATGTCCCTACTCACTAATTGGAATAAAATACTTTTGAAATTTTTTATTATACTATTTTTATGGCTTATTTGCATAGAAATACCTATTATTGACTTTTTCTGGCTATTTTCAAGGAATATATCAATAACTGTTTAATGAACTTATACTTTTTCTGGTTCATACCCATCAGACTGGGTTCTATTTTCAACATAATGGTATACTTCAAGCCTCAAAGTTTGAAATCTCTCTAAAACTCAGGTATATCAGGTCAGAAGGTTGACTAGATCTGGAGCACAGATGAGCTAATCACTTTTCCTTTTCTTCCCCTCCCAAAATCCGAGGAAAGGAAAAGAGGCTGCTGACAGTATTTATGCCCTGAAGTTTGGCAAGGCTGCTCTGGATGTGGATACTGAATTGACATAATATCCAGAAATGGGAGGAAGTGTGGGCCAAAAACTTGAGGCCAATAAAATTTTGAAGTTCTCATGTGAAGCACTATTGTGCTCAAACGAGGAGTTAAGGACATGGTGCCATACATATGCCTGTATGAAACTACATTTGCTATTGAACAGCTGAATTATCTCCTGGTATCATAAATGAGTGTGGAAGGAGTCAGCTGTGGTCCCACTTGGGGAAAAAAACAGACAAACATGCTTTATTAGTCAAGGTTTTACTTTTAAGTTCTGAAGTTTCAAATCCTTACTTTCGTCATCGCTGTTGTTGACAATTGTTGACAATTTATTGCTTGAGTGTTTCTTTGGTGTTACTTTTGAGTTGTATTTTAGGACACCTGAGGGATGGTTAAGGTGCCTGGGGAGCTGGACATTTCTCAAAACCACTCTGCTCAGTCACTGGAGCAGGATTTTCAGCAGGTGTTTCACTCACCTTTGTCTCCTTCCCATTAAGAGCTGGAGCATTGGGTGGATGAGGTCTGTGCCGGTAGTTGTATGGGCGCCTATATACCCACGGCAAAGTGGCTGCTGACTCATAACATTGGCCTCATGGTGGTTCTCTTTGTTTTCAGCCTCTCCAGTCACTGGGGCAGGACATGGAAGTGGGGGCCCTCTGTGATAGCGGGGACGATAGGTAGGATTCCTATGGACTTGTTGATTAAGTTGTCTTCCTTCTGTGACCCCATCCTTGATTTCTCCCTCACCACCACTTCGAGGAGGTCCACGGCGTCTGCAAAAATAGCCACGTCGATAGCGGCGCCGATCTGCAGCATAGCGGCTGCCTTCTGACAAAACTAAAAGACAAGTACAAAATTCACAAATGCAGAAGTGACTGAGTAATTATTTGTATACTTGGTACTTGTGTCACCAGGCTAATCCTGCTTAATCCATTGTACAGCTCTTCCAGCGTTATTCTGTGTTTAGAATAGAGAACAGACTCATTTAATAAAAAAATGACATAAGTATAGTGAGTAGCAGTAACCCGAGAAAGATAGATTTTCTTTTTCCTCAATGAAAAGTGGTAAGTTAACTGTAAAATCTAAATTATTCCTCAAGGAAAAAAGATAATAAAGATGTCAAAGTAGATAATAACCTAATGTGCTGTGCAGTGTTATCCAATTAGATAATTCAATATTAAACTTCAATCTAGGAAGGAAAAACTGCTCAAAAAAAAAGAATTATAAATGCTCCATTGTCTGAACCACTGGAGCTAGAAACAACATTTATTTTCATAATGTTTAATATAATATTTATTTATTTTAATGTTTCTATGCATGTGTATGCAAATGTAAGTTATTTCAGATGAACAGTATTGAAAATTCGTAAATCTATCTGTCTAACTATCTGCAACAGACTTATCTGCAGACAAATCATTGTAGTTCACCACAACAGAATATCCCTCTTTATACCTGCTCACATCCTGCACCTGGGCTGGGGCAACCCCTTGTATCAATACAGGCTGGGGGATGACGGGATTGAGAGCAGCCCTGAGGAGAAGGACTTGAGGGTAGTAATGTATGAAAAGCTGGAGCTGAGCCATCAATGAGCACTGGCAGCCCAGAAGACCAACTGTATCCTGGGCTGCATCAAATGAAGCAGGGCCAGCATGGTGAGGGAGGGGATTCTCCCCCTCTTCTCTGCCCTGGTGAGACCCCCACCTGGAGTACTGTATCCAGCTCTGGAGCCCTCAGCACAGGAAAGATACAGACCTGTTGTAGTGGGCCACAAAAATGATCAGAGGGATGGAACACCTCTCCTGTGAAGAAAGGCTGAGCGAGTTGGAGTTGTTTAGCCTGGAGAAGAGAAGGCTCAGGGCAGATCTCATTGCAGCCTTTCAGTACTTGAAGGGGGCCTGTAAGAAAGATGGAGACAATTTTTTTAGTAGAGTGTGTAGTGATAAGACAAGGGAAATGGTTTTAAACTGAAAGAGGGTAAATTTAGACATATATAAGGAAGAAATTTTTTACCACGAGGATGATGGCCCTGCTTGTTGCAGGGGGATTGGACTAGATGACCTTTAAATGTCACTTCCAACCCAAACCATTATACAATTCTGTGATTCTATGTCCTCTTGCACTGAACCTGTCACTCTTCTTCACATGTTAGTGTTCTGTAAAGTCTGATGCAGATATGATGATGTTCTAAAACTTGATACTGCAAAGTTTGTGCTATGGCTGCTGTATAATTGTTTCTATTTAGTGAGCGAAATTAGCCAATTTTTCTGCTTCTGTTTTCCTTAGGCAAAGTCACTGAAGTCACCTGCAGCAGAAGATCCTTATGTAAACCCACTTTGGAGTAGAACAATAATGCAACAAAACTAAGTTGACTTATATCCTTACGCAAACACAGTAGTGAATCATATAAATGCAACTTTGGAGAGTCATTTCTAAATGCTTTTTCCTTGCTTTCAGCATAACTATTATTGAATCCCATTACTGTAATTTGTCTTCTAACAATCAAAAATTATTATCTGGTTCACCTTACCCTCTAACTAAATTAGACTCTTGAATTTAAAAACCTGGGGTTTTGCATTCACAATTCTAATGTAGCTGGTGGTTTTAAATCTGCAACTTTTTGGTAGTTCCTCACGCTTACTGATTTTGCATTTTATGGTTCTACTATTCAGGCTGGAGTTTTCACTTGTGATTAATTGCTCACCATTTATCAGGCATAGAGTGAAGAAGTTTAAAACTTTTATTAATTGAGATGATTTTATTAATTACAAGGTTGCAGACATAGTTTCAACAGCTGTTGCTTATGTAGATTCATAATTTGTGAAAAACCCTTTAGAATTGTGTTAGTTTGCATGAGAATTATCTGATTATGAGAACACCTTTAGGATGCTGTGCCACTAATCACACATCTTACAGTTCTTTCTTCCTTTGTATACTTTTTCTTGTGTATTTGTACTTCACAGAACATTACTTAACATTTCCCAAACAGTTTCATCAGGCTTAATTAAAATTCACTACACTTGGGGAGGCAGTATTATTATTCCTGTTCTACAAATGACCACTCTGAAGTCCAACCTTGCCCGAGGTCAACGTGGCTTAGAGGAGAAGAGAATCAAGCTGACTCTAACCCTGGATATAGTCAACTCCCTGAGACATGAAACCAAACCTGTAGGATCCTTCCATCTGCCTTTTGGAGACCACAGGGTTATTTTATGAAGTTTCTTAAAGTTTAACAACCACTACAGGAAATTTCAGTTAAATGAAGTTATGCTGGTGAAGGAGAACGGGACTGAAGAAAGTTATTTTAGCAGCTTATGTTTTATGAGAAACAGAGGTAAGGGAGAAACCTCCCACATGTTCCAGGATGACAATGACAGCAAGAGAGTATGGTCACTTTGAGATATTAAGTACTATGATAATTAACAGAGCTAAATAAAATGCAGAATTCCCTGGGCTTTTGGCAATGTGAATCTTCAGAATGACATAAAATTATCACCATAACAAGATTTTAAAATCTTGGTTTTAAAAATCCTGTCTGCTTTCTCTAGCAACACTAAATTGTCCCAGAAGTTGTCTATGTAATCTATCTGATCTCCCTTTTTCAGAATTAGATAAGTGGAATGAGGTTAGTCTATCGTTGATCAAAACGACTGTATTAATGATCTCCTTTTGGATTAGGCCAAAGAGAGCGTCTACATTTGATATACTAAAGTTGAGAGAAAGCCCACAGTGTTTGTGAAGCCTGGGACCAATATGCTAGATACGAATGTGTGAAACAGAGTTACCAGTACTGATTAGAGGGGTAGGCTCACCTCCTTCGACCTGCAGGTCACACTTTGTCTAATGCAGCCGAAGATACCAGCAATATTTTTTTAAGAAAGGGCATGTTGCTGGTTCATGTTCAACCTGTTGTCCACCAGGACCTCCAAGTCCTTTTCTGCTTGTGGCCCCCAGCATATACTGGTGCATGGGGCTGTTCCTCCCCAGGTGCAGGACAGTTTTCCTTGTTGAACTTCATGAGATTATATCCTGTGAAAGAAAAGAATCCGACCTCTTTATTTTCCTACAACTGGAAACTTCACTTTTCTAAGCACTTTGAAAAAAGACTTTCCATTAAAATTGACAAATATATAAGAACATATAATATATTTTATAAGGGAACATAGAATTATTTTCTAATTCTTAGATGCCAAAAATAAAAGTCAATTTATTTTGCTTATGTTTATTTTTTCCAGTATTTTTTTTAGGATAAAAAAAAAAAAAAAAGAGAGAACTGTAGTTTTTTTTATGTATTAATATCGATCAACAAAATGGTAAATATTGACCTTACGGAAGCCAAGCTAGCTTTTCCCAGGCAGACCATATTTTTCAAGGTATCCACTAATTTTACACTTGATTTGCACTTGTAGTAATTTTGCCAGTAAAAGTCAGGCATAGAGGTTTCTTGGTCTCACTGGACCTTTTAAAAAATGTCTGATACATTTGCTACACTCCAGTCCACAGTCACCATGGGAATCTTAAGCCAGAAGTTAGATAGGGCTGTTATTAACTTAGCTGTTTCATCCTTGAGAACTCTTAGAGCTCTTGGGGGCACATGATCCAGGCCTAGGCATGTTTTTAGTGTTCATTTCGTTAGTTTGTTCCACAGACTCTCCTACAACACTTCGTTTTCAGACAGGCCCTTTGCTGAGCTCACTCCAAGAAGGAGGTTATGGAGAGTGAATTTCTCTCATTTCCATAGTGAATGTTGAGACAGAAAATTTATGTAACATTATATCCTGATCATCAGCTGTCCCTGCTGAAAGTGTGTGGGTTTCTCCTCTTGATGTGTTTAAAGGATTTAGTATTAGCTTTTATTTTATTTGCTAGTTACTACCTTCAAATTCTGGTTTACTCTGCCTTTTTTTTTTCTTTTAATTTGATATGCCTGAATTTCTGTCATCCCCTTTTACCCTCCATTGTCACAGACTCCCTCATTTTTATATATTTCTGTTTATTCATGACTTCATGAAATAGTGCATGAGCTGGAAGAATTGTTTTGCATGTGTAATCTTTCTCCTGTTAGTAGAAAGATGTAAGAGGTCACAAATTATTTTTGTTCCCATAGCACCAATTTCCATATGCTAAAAACATGACTAAATAGAAATGGACTGGACAACCTCTTGAATGGTAGTTGTATCAGTCGTGGCAGAGAATGATGGTTCAGATGCATTCTCCAGCTCAGGAAGTTATTACCTAATTGCTGTAAACTGAGATGATGTACCTGGGGAAATATTACCCTTTTTTGCATTGTCCATCTCGCATGTATAACTCCCTAAGCATTCCAATCACTGTTCAAGACAGGATATTGAGGCAAATGGATTTTTTGCTATAAATCCATATGCTTGTTTTTATAAAAAGTAAATCTCTTAAGAAGGAAATGTTTTATGGAGTGAGTTAGGTTTCTCAGAACTTTATTTCATAGGAAAACAGAGGAAAAAATCCTGATGTTATTAAATTATTCATTCTAAACCTACTTTAAATTTAAAAGTATCTATTAATTTATGAAAAAAGACAAAAATGAAGTGAAAGAATTTATTGCAATGTAAAGTTTTTCCTGATCCAAACCCATTTTTCTTCCAGTATCTTCCTTTCAGAACCATGTGACAATAGTCAGCATTTGATCCTTTAAGAGCATCACAAACTTTGCAATCTTGAAAAACTTTCACAAATCAAAACATTCAAAGCTTTGAAAATACAAGCAGCTTCAAGAATACACAAAATATAAAGTCCTTCCTGGTATATAAGTAGATATTTGGTTATATTGAAATGAAAGGCTACTGCCTTTGGTGTTTTCTTGC